AAATGTTTGTCCAATCACATCTTTCGGTCCTACCTGCCTGTCAACGTATGTATTTGCATACCTCCATGCACCCTGTTTGTGCAGATATGATACGTCATCAGTGCGTTCCATTACGCCATTGCAGACTGAGCGAGAATGGAAGGCGTTATTATTGTAATATTATGCACTTTGTATTGTAATGTTTTCTCACCGGTGAATGAGACATGAGGCAATCTGATAGCGTTGCATTCAACCCTCCACCAACGCTCTCTCTCATCGTGTCACTGGTTAGCCTCTGGTCTGCTTTGGAGAGTGATTTGCAGGGAAAGTGCGATCTTATGCTTTCAAAGCTAGCTTGCTATTGTTAGTCTTTCCAAAATCACCTATCCTACCTTTAATCTTCAAAACAAAAATTAAGATTTTTAAATTAAATCTGGGATATTTCTAATCCTCCATTGAAAGTCCAGGTAATCAAAACTTAGAAGATCCAAAGAGGTCATAAAGACATCTTCAAATTAATCCATATCAATTGAATGGCAAACCAATTTGGATTAAAAGCCAGAATTAAATCTGTTTATCATATAAAGCGATGGTATCGCTTCACAAGACTTGGATTAATCCGCTCAATTCATTTGGATTTGTTTGATAACACTTTTATTGAATCTTTCGAATTTTTTAAAGATTAAGTAAAATCTTATGGGTTTGGAGCAACATGAGGGTGAGTAAATTGACAGAATTTTCATTTTTGGGTGAATTGTCCCTTTAAGTTATTTCCTCAGCCAGCAATATACAGTAAAAATCTAAATAGAAGTGTTGTTTACTAAAATGCACAAATGAGCTGTATTTTCTCTGGTTCAACTATCTCTGTTTCTCTTCTAGCTCTATGAGATAGACAGAATTCGAATGCTTTATCAGCAGATGCGACATCTGGAGCTCACGTATGGCACTGATGCATCCAAATACCAGAATACCCTCGGTCTTCAACTAAAATCGACGCCTCCACCCACAACCCAGCCTCCACTCCCTACTTTACCACCTGTCTCCAAGATGGAAGTTATGTACCTGTGTAATTCAAAAGACCCCCAATGCAAGCCACATATTGTGTACCTGCCCACTGGTGGTGTACCTGTACTTTGCGATCCACGTTACCACCCAAACTGTAAACTCAGTCCTGTCCACGAGTCGCCCTCTCCCCCTGTAGCTGCCTCAGAGCCAGTGACATCTGCCCCTCCACCACCACAAAAATCCACTCCTCCACCACCCACTCCTCCAGTGATTATAAAAGGAATGGATTACGACTGTGATCCTTACTGGGACCCTGACTGTCTAATCGACAACCCTCCCAGGCCAGTTAAGATGATCGAACCATCACCAGCGCCTCCAGCTGAGAAGGTGAAAAAGGAAACGGGGAACAAAGTAATCCTAAATGCTCTGGTTCCAACCTATGACCCATATGACTTCAATCAAGATCTATATGATCCCTTCCGCCATGCAGCTCCAGCTCCCTGATTAAAATTAAGTCAAATCAGTCCAAAAATATTCATCTTAATAATTTACCCCTACATTCACGTTTTCTTATCTAATTGATGTAAAATGTATAAGATAAAGTACACATTGTACATTAAATACACTAAACCATGGCCTTATTTATAATATGTAGCTAGGTATGTATTCTTTAAACAAATGGTGAGGCCAGAATAAAGGATATGGACACATAAAAACTACTTTGGTTTGTTAATCTGATTCATCTTCTTGTTTCATATGTATTTCAGCCCAGATGAAAGTATGTGGGCACACTGACACCATCAGGTCATAGAAAAAAAACGGTTTCTGAAAAGCTAATTATTTCGTCCGTCTTATGAAGTAATCACGAGGAACAGGTCCATTTATATTGCATGTTCTCACGAGCTTCAAGGGTAGCGTGGCCGAGCGGTCTAAGGCGCTGGATTTAGGCTCCAGTCTCTCTGGAGGCGTGGGTTCGAATCCCACCGCTGCCATAAATATTTTCAAATTGTTCCTAAATTATGAAACCTTAATTTTTTTTTTCCCGGATGTATCAATTAGCACAGACCTTCAAATTTGCCGCTATCTTTAGATTTGTCTTCAGACATATAACTTCCAATTTGTCACTTGCAACTGCTCATCCCTTTCACAAAATAGCATTATTGAGCTCTCTTTCTATTTTCTTATCATTCAAATTTATCCACCTTTTTCTTGTCTATAAAAATGGGCGCGGCCATTTGTAAATTCTATGGGTCTGGCTTCCGGTCTCATCTGCCTCCACTCCGTCCAGCTATTTTTAGCTGAACAAAACAGTTTGTTTTGCTGCTTGATATTGAAAGTTGGTGTGTCTTATCATATTATTTTAATGTATTATCTTAATTATGAACACACTGGTTTGTAGTGCAAACAGTTTTACCGTTTTACTGCACGTTGTTATTCTCTTCGTTATTTACCTATAGCGGCTAATGAACCGGAAGTCTCACCCATAGGCTTACTTCCGCGTTGAAGAAAAAGGTGGATACAAGAAACACGATTTGCGAATTTCAAAAGGCACCGCTGGGATTCGAACCCAGGATCTCCTGTTTACTAGACAGGCGCTTTAACCATCTAAGCCACGGCGCCAGCGAGGGTTTTTTTTAAATAATGTTTTTTGAAAACACAATGATTAACTGTTTTAAATTTGTCATTTCATCAATGACAAACGCAACTAAGTTATCAGAAGACCATGAGCATTTTTGTGACAGATTTTCCATCCTTTGTACATTTTGTGGTGGTAGGACAAAAACATTGAATGGAACAGATAGCTGGAAGACATTTTCACCCACTGCACTTCCACTGTTACCTGATAAAGTTTACATGTAGCGTGACAACTTCCTGAAAAGAAACGACGAGGATGGGATTCGAACCCACGCGTGCAGAGCACAATGGATTAGCAGTCCTTAGCCTGCGCCGCTCAAAACACTCGATACATAATTTAATTTCATACAAATTAAAAAAACTAACGAACGTCAACAACGAAACACCTTTACACTGTATGCAATCATATTGTACAATAGTACTGAACCATCCAATAATCGTACTTCATCACTAGATCAAAATCAGCAGAAACACAGTTATTACCACTATAAACACAAGATTCTTTTAGTAACATCATATTATTATAAAAGATTCAGACAGGATTCGTTAGGATGTTGCGTGTCCTAAACGAATACGGAAAATAATCACGTATTCATCATATCCAATCATCATGCTCTGAAACCTTATTTCTAAGGTAACAAGTAAGGATATACCTCACTGACGCAACGTAAAGACGGTCTCGGAAAGCTTTTGTAAACCACGCATGTATTTTCAATCACGGTTGTGATTCTAACTCATTCAAAAGAATTTAAAGTACAAATGACTAAGTACATTTGTACTAATGACTAGTACGAGAGAAGCGTTTTAAAGTTTAAAAAAAAAAAAAGGTAAACTATATATTTTAAATTCAGTTTCTTTGACATCTCATATTAACATACTGGTGCTTCCTGCGATCCCATTGGTGGATTTTGAAAGCGATAGCCTTTTCGCTATTTATTCGCATTTAGTTTCGTTTAACCATAAAAGTAATATATACGTACATCTAATTTCGGGTTTTTATCAAAACTATTTTATAAAAAATACTTAAAACGTTTATTTATTTTGAAAAGGCCGGCTGATATGAGTCAGGAGGAGGGGTCATTGAAGTGGCACACAGGCGGAAGCTGAGTGAATCTCTCTTATTCGCAAAAAAAGTGTAAATTTCGATATCATATACATATCGAATTGTTGTTAACAATTCACGTTTAATTCCATTTACACAAATGTTAAATTGCTGTATTACAAAAACTCCTATCAAAACAGATCAGTAACAAACTTTTTGAAGTGAGTGTATGAAGCACAGTTCTGTTCCATTACTAATGTAAAATATTTTTGAGGTTTAAACATCGTCACTGAATTCGTATTTTACTCGTCGCATTCATTTTGTACTATGACGAAGTTTCTCTTGTTGGCAGACATATCGAATGAAAACCACATGAATACTACATGCATTTAGCGTCATCTAGTGGTTGAAGTAATCATGTCTAAACTTGTTATCTAAAAATGTTCACGCAAGTTATTTTTCTAACATTATATTCTATTTTCATTTTAAAATAAACTGTAGAGCGGTTTTGTCACTCTGGTAATAAGAATTATATCATGAACATAAAATATGTGATTAATAAAACTTCAGTAGTTTAATAAATAATAAAGCTTTCTTTATAGATTATATATAAACCTAAATATAAACCTAACTGGCCCAAATATAAACGTAAATAATAAACGTCTTACAAGTCGCATCTTTTTGTCATTCCTAGGAAAACATTTACTTCCAACGGTAGCGTGGCCGAGCGGTCTAAGGCGCTGGATTAAGGCTCCAGTCTCTTCGGGGGCGTGGGTTCGAATCCCACCGCTGCCAAACACGTTTTCCCTATGTGCCGTTGCCTTTTGATGTTTTATAGGTCATATGTCATCATACGTCATACATCTCGTGAGCCAACAAGAGTAGAAACGCAATATTTACAACTATCTACTAATTCTAGTGCTTAAAGTATTATGAAATAGTATTGGCGGCACCTATGCTATCAGAATGCATTACAATAAAACTGCTCCAGAAATCTAAATGTTTCCATGTTTCCCATTAAGGTAACTAACAAGTGAGCATACACCGCCTGGAAAGCCCACTGATCCCTTCATAGACCGCCATTTTGTTTGTTTCAGCAATCCTTACTTATACTTATCAATAAATTAACCACAAGGCGTGTTGTGCAAATACAATCCATGGACCCAATCCCACGTCCTCTTACATATACCTCTTACATAGTGTTCCAAACGGATAGCCTAAATGTGCCCTGTCCCGTCTTGTCATACTGTCAACAAGCAATGCATCCATTCTCCATCTCCTGTCTCTCACGGTCACCGCTTGCAACCTGCAGCTTCCCGGATGACGAGTGACGTCAACGAGCCATCTTTGTTCGCCTAATCCGAGCATCTATTTTTTATGTGTACATAGTGACAGAAGAGAGTAGCGGTAGAGCTCCCTTATTATAAAGGGAGTAATAGCGAGGCGCGGCACACCGCTGCAAAGAAATAAATACAAATCCTCACAAAACACAAGGAATAATACCGCTTTACTGGAATAACCTGGAGAGTGTATTATTTATCCCGGAGACGGGGAGAAACGCCTGAAGCAGCGCGTCCATCCACACACTTCTAGACGCACATAAAACCCGGTTCACAATGTGAGTACGATTTATTTTCAATTAAGGGTTGTAATCTGTTTTTGAATTAGGTTTTATTTGCTCGGTTATCATTATGCTGCCACTTGTTAATAGAACGTTGTATATAAATATTAATATGTATGCACAAAATAATCACATTCCATATTATGGTAGGTTTATATTTGATTGTATATAACGTTACGCATAATTCCACATCTATTGCGTATTTCACGAGACCCACTGAATTCTGACGAGCGCACTTGCTATATAATAGTCTATAAATAGGCTCCTAATGGCCAATGTTTTTCCATTTCAGCTGCTGCTGCTGCCATACTAAATTTGCATCTATACAGTAAATTGCTGTCAAGGAACTAATTTATTTTTAATGTGAAGGTTTTTCGCGTTATTCTGCTGTTTGGAATGCGCGACAGCGATAGAATCACGCCTTGACACCGGATTGGACTGGTTTGGCTGGTTTGGTCGCGCGCTTTTAGAATGAAAATAATATATGAATCGACTTTATGTATTGCAGTTAATATATTTGTCCACCCAAATCTCTGTCTTGATGATTATTTAGATGTCGATGTCAAAAGCCCACTGGGATTTGTCCCAAATAGCCCAAGGCCCACTGTATTTCAAACCTGGCTTGATATCAGTTTTAACAAATTACATTTAAGTAATGATAATAAAAATAAATATACCTCACATGCTACACATAAGAAAAAAAAATCCCTTAAGCAGGCTGTAAACTAGAGGCGTGATATTCCACGCGAGTAGTGGGGGTTGGTGAACGGTTATATGCTCAGGACGATGCAATTTGTTACATTTTCGAATTATATGATTCTCTAACCCAGTGGTTCCCAACCCTGGTCCTGGAGGCACCCCAACACTGCACATTTTGCATGTCTCCTTTCTCTGACACACCAATTTCAGATCTTGGAGTCTCTACTAAATATACCTCACATGCTACACATAAGAAAAAAAAAATCCCTTAAGCAGGCTGTAAACTAGAGGCGTGATATTCCACGCTAGTAGTGGGGGTTGGTGAACGGTTATATGCTCAGGACGATGCAATTTGTTACATTTTCGAATTATATGATTCTCTAACCCAGTGGTTCCCAACCCTGGTCCTGGAGGCACCCCAAGCACATTTTGCATGTCTCCTTTCTCTGACACACCAATTTCAGATCTTGGAGTCTCTACTAATGAGCTGATGATCTGAATCAGGTGTGTTTGATTAAGGAGACATGCAAAACATGCAGTGTTGGGGTGCCTCCAGGACCAGGGTTGGGGTGCCTCCAGGACCAGGGTTGGGAACCACTGCTCTAACCCATTCCAACATGTTTCTATGGAACCAGGCCTTGATATTTATTGATATTTGGTTAGACTGAAGCTAAATGGCTGGCACAAAGGGCGCAGGTGTTCCTCTGCCGGAAAGATGGCCTTGTACTCTAGGATTTTCTAGACACGCTCGTCTAACTGGTTTAAATAATTCAGGCTGTAAATGGCACGTAACTTCAATAATATGCCCATATTAACTCCCCTATTGTATACTTTTTTTTTAAAGGCATCACTTGGTCTGGAGTGTGATATTTTGATATGACCATACTGTTTTACGGTTCTACCTTTTGCCTTCAATACATAAAAATAGATAAATTAGTAACAGTTAGTAACATCCGGTCCAGTTATTTGACAAAATGTATGTTGATTGTGACGCAACAATGAGAGAGACTCACACACACGCTTAATGAAGGCCTTGTGTGGGGGTGGGGATGTTGCCCATCTCATTCATATGACCCTGCCTTTACCAGTCCAGTGTAAGGAACAGTCCAGAAACAATTTAACCTCATATTAGTGTAAAATACAGTAAATGTACGATGCTTTCTCATTCATTTATTTGGAATTTGTCTGAGCATTGGGAAAAAAAGCCTTGCATAACCAGGCCATAAGGAGCACTGGACAAATGTTTGGTGTGTCATTCAAAAATGAATTTTGCTTTAAATGAGAAATTTAGCATCGGCGCAGCCATTAGTCTTGATGATAATAAAACTACTACGATTTTAGCTACACCCAAATTTTGTCTTTGGGTAATTTAGCATTGAATCATGTGCTCACAGACTATTACCTCTTAAAGCCTGTTTCTGCTTCTTATGCTTTGATGATAGATAGATATGCAGACAGACAGATAGATAGATAGATAGATAGATAGATTCTAATGTACTTGCATTAACACAGAATACAAAAACATTTCATTTTACAACATACTAATATATTTCTGTTTGTTTATAGTTTAATTTATTATAGTCAAATTATAGGCAAAGCATTATCAATAGTTTTAATGTATTTTAGACATGAAAATAAAAACTTTGAGTTGCAAGAATGTTACTATTATGTTCTGGTTGTAAGAACCATTAAACTGATACACATCAGTCAAAGTGAAGTGCTATTACATCTTTTCATGTCAGTGAAGGTGAGAGGAGCCAAGACTAATGTCTAAATATAGATTATTGTAAATGTGAAGGAGCGGAAGCTATTGAGAATGAGAAAAAAAGCTGGTAAATAAGAATAAAAATATGGTGAGCTTTACTCCCGGCTCCTTTACTCCTTTCATATATGTAAGATCCCAGTAAGAAAAAGATTTAGGGAACTAAACAGGGATTATATCCAGGGATCCTTCAGAGGTGACCTTTATACAGAGTGTTGTCTTCCTCTGGTGGCTGAGATTGGCATTAGCAAGGAGACTTTTTCAGAAATCCCTGTTTAGCTGCTTATGATTTCTGTCAGTTACATTAAAATACATACACCAGTCTTTACAAAAGAAAATAGCGAGTGAACAGTACAACAGTACAGTACATTTAACTAAATAATTTAGTTTCTTTTCACACAACAGCTAGTCTGCATGAGATGGCAGTAGCAATGTGTGATTTTATGTAATCTTGCTGGTATGATGATTATGACAAATCAAGAAGGTATTTATTGTAACTAATTTAGTAATGAATTTGAATTGTAATTAAAATTTGAAAACAAATACTGTTCTATTAAAGGGGTCATATGATGCTTTTTTAAAGATCATTATTTTGTGTATTTGGTGTAACAGAATATGTTGACATGCTTTAATGTTCAAAAAACACATTATTTTTCTAATACTGTACATTATTGTAGGTCCTCTATGCCCCGCCTCTCTCAAACGCTTCGTTTTCTACAAAGCCCCCTCCTTATATGTGGGGGCGTGTTAGAACGAGCCGTTTTAGGAGGGGGTGGCAGAGTCTTAACTTTGATAAAGAATATCTCTTTGGTTTTGAGACTTTAGTCTTTGCAACTTCAGGGATCTTATCTATGCACGAACAGCTTGTAACACTCCAAAGAGAAAGGAAAACTTGAAATCGCATCATATGACCCCTTTAAGAAATGCAAGCAAAACCATTATTTTTAGTAATTTAGGACAATCAAAACTCATATTCCTAATATATAGATCCTCTAAATCATCGTACTAATAATACACCCCAGTAATACTGAAGTATTGACGAATGCCTGTATGTTGGTTTACAGGTCTGCCCCAGCCGGTGCCCCTGCCCCAGAAGGAGGTAACCAGCCTCCCCCTAACCTCACCAGCAACCGTCGCTTACAGCAGACACAGGCTCAGGTGGATGAGGTGAGTGAATCTCATCTCTTTGGCTTCTTTCATCTACAAGTGCATTTTCAGAACACATTCATATATATAAGGGATGACACAGTTTACTAAGAGTCACCTTCATCATTTCCCAGGTGGTGGACATTATGCGTGTGAACGTAGACAAGGTTCTGGAGAGGGACCAGAAGCTGTCAGAGCTGGATGACCGGGCTGATGCCCTGCAAGCTGGAGCCTCACAATTCGAGACCAGTGCTGCCAAGCTCAAGAATAAATACTGGTGGAAGAATGCCAAGGTAAACATCACAAAAAGTGCCTCGAGTAAGGCTGAAAAAGGCTATGTATTTTCAGAACAACACATCTAAATCAAGCAAACAGCTAACAATAAACCTCAAATCAGTACACCTCTTTGAAATTAAAGTCCTTTATCATTCTAACATATTTAGCTGTCAGTATAAGTATGTTGTGTTATTTCTATTCACAGCTTAAAATTATATATTAAAAAAATATATATATAAAAAACAGTACCTCAAAACAAAAAGTAGTTCATAAAAACACATTTTTTAATCAAATATTTGAATGTTGGGTCTTTATAGTCTACTCTTTACTGCTTTTCAACCTATTCTCCTTCTTTTTACCTCTTTTCTTTAGATGATGATTATCCTGGGGGTGATATGCGTGATTGTCCTCATTATAATCATTGGTAAGTAATGACAATATTCTTAGTGATTTTCAAAGGAATATTCTGGGTTGAATACAACTGGGAAAATCATGTTTGAATCTCAAACGCAGAAATTTTTAGTTTGTTTGAGAAAAAAAAGTAATTCCATAGATTTCTATTTTAAAGGGGTAATTTACCAATGGCAAGATAAAACTTGGCTGTCTATGCAGTAGAAAGGCATTTTTTTAAATCAGTGCTACATGAGTAGTGAAAACATAGAAAGAGGGCTGTGTCGTTCCTTTGTGCCAAAAAGGTAGGGATCTTCAACACCCATACTGCACTGGGCTCAATCTGACTGTAGGTAGGGATATAAAAATGCATAAATACAATCTGTAGTTTTAACAAACATCCTGGAGATGTCAAAAGATTTAGCATTTTGCGCCATCTGGCGGTCTTTGGCTGACCAGTAAAGATCTGAGTGCAGGTAGCATGAAGAAAGAGTACACATTGTTTATTTGCACATACCACTGACATTGTGAAAATAGAAAGCTGGTTGAAAATCAGTGAACTTGTCCTTTAAGCACTCTTTACAGTCAACTTGGTATTTGTGTTTGATTTCACAAACTGAGGTACAAAATTCTGAGCGAAAATTGTATGTTGTATACAGAATATCCCTTTAAAACTAAAACCGCCTTTCCACTATCTCTGACATTCTCATACAATTGTCACATTTTGCCTCCCTAGTGGCAGTCACATGGAACGTCTTATTCACCATTATAAAATGAATAAATAATGAGTGTATATATATATACACATGTGTATATATTAGTGCTGTCAAATGCTTAATCGCGATTAATCGCATCCAAAAATAAAAGTTTTTGTTTACATAATATGTAATATTATGTATATATAAATACACACACATACAGTAAATATTTTGAAAATATTTACATGTATTTACATGCATATATTTATATTTTTATATTTTATATTATATATAAATATATTTAACATATAAACATAACATATTTTTCATGAATATATACATGCATGTGTTTGTATTTATATATACATAATAAATATACACAGTATACAAACAAATATTATGTAAACAAAAACTTTTATTTTGGATGCGATTAATCGCGATTAATCGTTTGACAGCACTAGTATATATATGTATAATATATCCACACAAAACAAAGGACAGCAAATATGTTTGAAAGCAAAGTAGGTTTTCTGGGGCTAATCAATGTAAATAAACAAGTATAAGTTAATTTCTGACTTAATTATTTATAACTGCCCATTTTACAGGTTTTAGTGGAAAATATTGGTAAATTTCACTCTCTTCTTCACTAATCTGATGATCTGGCTGTTGCATATGGTGTAACTGCAAAACGTCAAATATTTCAGTGCTTCCAAAGCTCAAATCACATCCGAAAATACGCATAGGATCAAACTCCACTCCACTACTCTCCATTAGAAATTAATGACTTCCAGTCTGTCTTTTGTCTTGGATAGTGAAAAGGTGGCTTAAGTACAAAATACTTAGAGTGACTCACTGTATAATTATATTTCTTATTACATACTCTTTCTCAAGTGTTGACGATAAATCTGATCTGCTTCTCTTCACAGTGTACTTCAGCACCTAAAGCGCGATGTTCCTACCCCACTCTGAGCTCATGAACGTCCAATTCTAAGCCACAGAAAAATCCCTCCCAAAAAAGATGAGAAAAACGACTTCTCACAACAATCAATTGATTTGCCCCTTCCTGAGCCCCCTTGCCCCCTGTCTCCACTGCCTCACAGCTGGGCCCCTGTCACTCCTCGTTCGTCCTGTCCGTGAGTGTGTGGCCATGTCTCCTCTGTAAATACCTCCGGCTTTTCTGAAATACTGTTCATACTCCAAACTCCTGATTACTTGTGACAACGACAACCGATAAAAAAAGAAATCACAGCCCTTAGAATACGATACGATTATACAGTATATATTCCAAAATGTTCTTTGTAGAGTTTTATTCTGATATAATGGTTTTTTGTAGTTTGTGTGTGAGTGTGCGTTTGTATATTTTTTTAAGTTTTGTAAAACTTATTTTGCTTCAGGTTTAAACTACTGCCTCTCAATCTGGGTGTTTGTATCTTGCACGCTCTGTTTCACTCTTTCTTGCTCACTGAGTATTGGTGTATTTTTGCACAAGCGATAGACTCCCTTAACTGAGGTACTGAATCAATATCCCCAGTTTGTTCTTTGTCACATGCACTCTATCTCAGACCTACACATTTCCCCCTCAAACCTCTTTCTCTTTCTTTCTTTCTTTTTCTTTCTCACCAATAGTACTTACTCTCTTAGTGAACTGCCACAACAGACCAATGACTGTAGATGTTTATCTTAATTTAATGTCTTTAGTGTCTTATCTCTTAAACATTCCTTAATAGCAGTGTACAATTATGCTGTCTATCAAACAAAGCAAGCGTATTTATCTTAAAGAATTCCAAAATAGGTCTTAAACAACCTTGAGTACTTGTAAAGCAGTCAGACTAGGTTTTGACAGGGATGCCGAAGTTATTAATCGCACATGGGTCAATTGCGCAGTACATGGAAAAATTTGAAAGTGTTAGTGCTATTTCGAACAGCAAATCAGGACCAAAATTCCCCGATTCATTCTGCTGGTAAAGATTTTGAAGCCCAGAGAGATTCAAGGCCAGAGACTGACCGAAAATTGGAAATAGTATCATGCACAAAAAGCTTGTTTTCGATGGCGCCTTTTAACTGGTTAGACTGCAGGTGCGAATGGGAGAGAACCGCGCGCTGTGTTACTCCCTCGCAGCAGAAATACTGCCAAACTGATTCATCCATCTGAAAGCACACAGGTTGATCTTAATACTTCAACATGAGGTAGTTTCGACAGCTGTGGTTCTCTCTCTTAAATCTAGATACTGCCTTTAATTTAGTCTTTCTTTTGATTTTAGGTATAGATTATATTATATTTTTGTGTGTGAAGCAGGCAGGAAAGGGACCACATAGTTTCAGGACTTGGCGCTGCTGCCATGTGCACAGCGAGCACCTTTGTGTCCCTCACTATTATCCACCTCTCTGTGTGCCTGTTTGTTAAGTTCAGCTGTAGTTTACACACTGCCAAGCATCTGAGGGGACATTTTTTTTCTTTTTATCTTTTGTTTTTTTTTCCACCATGCCCTTCCTGGTTTGCTCTCGTGCATATATACGCCTCCATCAGCATCACCCTTCAGTCTCATCCGCCCAATCTGCCAACAAGAAGCGAGCCAGGCGTGAAGTGTGCGTCTGCACGTGAACACCCCCCCCCCCCTTCACGTTTCCAAGTTAGCGCCATTAGCATTTCTTCTTTCACACGATTCGGTTTCTAGCCGCCCGCCGTAGTGTGTGTGTAGAGTATTTCAGCTTCATCCTGACAGATTAGGCTGCTTAGACCTCTGCAGGTAAAGAAAGGCTGTTCCCGTGGCAACCTGTTTGCATAAACAGGGGGGAAAGCATAGATTAGCTGATTGATTGTGACAGGAGGCGGGGCTGTTAAGGGGCGGAGCTAGAGATATTATTCCACTGGTGTGTTTTTACATTCCATATTAATCATCCGTATGGAAAAGAATGATGTTTGGAGCAGAATGAACTGTAATCTTTTGCATTTATGGTTTCTGACAAGCAAACTAATTTTCATTTCATTCATTTTTTCTTCTTTAAAAGGAGATAGCCTTAGTTCATTTTATTTTTTTTCTATCCCGGCATGCTCATTCACTCATTTGTCCCACTCACGTTGAGCTATTTTAATGATAAATGACCAAAGACCATATTATATCTTGCTTATACTGCCAACTGCCATCAAAAACAGGTTAAGGGGCAACATTTCCCCTGATCTCTGGTTTTTAAAAGCTCTCATCCAGCAAAAGGAAACAAGAATTAGCCCATTTCTCTGCATTTTTCAGGTCTGTTTATTTTACTTGAATATTTAGTATTGGTAATCAAGTGGAGGTGATTGCTAACAGGTTAAGGAATTTGAAACCACAATCCGACGGACGTAGCCCATGCCTGATATCTATATCAATGATAGCACAACTTCTCCTTTAGGTCTGTATCTGTAATGCTGAATATAAAACATGAAACTCTTTCTTAGTAGCTATTTAAAGAAGAAAAAGTCTGTATTGTTTTGTGTTGTAGTGTGGGCTTCATCTGGGGGAAGGGGGTTCTTTTTTTTTAGATTTGACATTTAAGACATAAACAATCTGGAATTAGAATAAGATCATATTAAAATAGATGAACTATATATTATATTAGGCAAATAAGAGAATTTTCTTCCAGGGGTTGTCAACATTTTAAAGGGGTCTATAACTAATAAACAACATGCATTGGGGTAGGACTCAAACATGACAAATGAATCAAAGCGTTAAAAACGCTTCACAAATTAAAAGGATTCTAATAGGGGACTACAAATAATGTATGTGCTTTTCAGTTTTTCTTTGTGCGAGTGTATGAATACATTTTCTTTTGTCTTGGCACTAATGTATGTTTTGTTCAAAACTGTGTGGGTTGAGAGGGACGGTGGCAGTAGTTTTGTCACGCCAGCCTGTTAAAGATGCTGCGTCTTCTTTATTGGGAGGGAACCAATGAAGACACAGAGCTTTACCGGCTTAAAAGCCACAGTGGTTTCTCCATTACTCATGTCATACAGTTATTTAGTCTTCAGTTGTTTAAGCAGAAATTAGTTAAGGCTTCACAGTGGTGCTCTGTGGCACAGCTTCATTGTGCTTAGTCAGGAGAGGGTGATTTTTTTTCTATAATTTAAAAAATACTGGAAAATGAACCCTGCCTTACTAAAGGTTAGAGTGTCAAGAGTTTTTTTTTTTCTTTTCAGAAAGCTTGTACAGACTGCGATATCAACTTCAGTTGGTTGCTATTAGTTCAGAGATGTTTTGAATGAAAACGTATGTGATTTTACACGAGTTTGATTCTTTGAAGGTTTTTGGGACTGAATAAAGAGTATAAACAAGTGGAATTTAAGGGGGCTGATCCCATAGAGCTTCATGGAGGTCTAGAAATGCATCGAACCAAGAGCCAAGTTGCTGTATTAATAACAGTTTGTGTTTCATTTGTTTATTTATTTGATTTACGGAGGTTCGTTTGTGGAGGAGAGGTTGAGGATTAGCATTACCCCTGTTTGTCTGGCCTCTTTGGAGGGACTAGGCTGGAGGATTATGGGTAATGTGGTCTTCACAGTTTTATTTTATGTTGTTTTTATTTTATTTTTTAAAATTATTTGTGTCATAAGTTATAGTGGACTACATATTAAACAGAACGAAGTACATTGTAACAGGGAACCTTTTGGCAACCAGACATACATGAAATCAATTGTAGAGTAAATCTGTCAATGTCTATTATATGGATGAACTTCTTGGGAAAAAAAAAATATATATATATAAATATACATATATATATTGCAAAAAAAATGACAGTTATGATGACCTGTGTTTATTGTTCCAAGTTAGAAATTAAAATGTGTGTGTGTGTGTGTGTTTGAAAACAATGACAACGTAAAAAAAATAAATATATAATAAAAATGGGTCTGTGTTGTTTTTTTTTTAATAACTCTTATATAAAGTATCAAATATATTATTGTATTATGATTATGTATTTAGGAACATATAAGCTGTGTTTTTTTTTAGCAATCTTCTGTTAAACATGGCCAGCTCCAGCATTTGGAGAGGATTTTTACACTATCACAGAATGAAAAGGTAAAACGTTTATAAAATACAAGTAAGTAACTATTCACTACTGCGTCACTGTTGCATAAACTATTAATTCTAAGAAAACGTTTCTGAGATGGAACAACAGAGATACCATGGTTATCTGGTCATGTTCTGCGGTGGAAGTACATTGAGTTACATGTATATGCATTCAGAACAGTTTTAATTGCTTCTATAAAACAGTTCAATAAACAATAAGTTAATATTGAGCATTAACTTACCTTAATTCTGTATGCCTAGGCAAATCATAATTATGATATTAAAAGTCAAAGTTATGATATGGGAAAGTCAAAAATATGACAAAATCTAAATTATTTTATAAAATTTTACAATATTACATATTTGAAACTGACATAAAGTCATAATTTTGACACAAAAGCCGAAATTATGACCAAAAAATGTAATAATTACGATAATATACAAATAATAAAATAATACAAATAACACAAAAGTCAAAAAACGTTGAAATTATGAGACAGATTATGACAGAGTCAAAAGCATGTCTTAATACATTTCTATGTCATAATAATCTCATAATCTCAATTTTTATCTCAATTTTAAAACAGTCATCACCTACTGGCGCAAATATATAACCTGCAGAAAGAGAAAAATACCCCCCCCCCCCCCCCCCAACCCACAAATAATGCACAGTCAGGAATATGTACAGACAGCTGTTTATTATCATGAAATACCATCTTCAGGGTGATTAAAAAATAAATAAATCTTATCACTCGGCCAGAGTTTATGACTGGCTGACTGTAATATCCCGTGCCATTTTATTACCATATGATACATGATGTCATAGTCAGCCTAAACACTGACCAAATGTGAAATTAATAATTGCGAATAATAATTAACTCCTCTAAATAATAGCATCCTGTCACGGTTGCAATGTGTTCAAAGCACTTAACACATGTGTCCAGCTGTGATCAACTTCCACCGCGTATTTGAGCAGCAATCTTCAACATGAGACAGAGTAAAAGCTGGCATGGCCCTCACACGCCCTCATGTGTCGGCGGCAGGTGGACGGACACGCTTAGTACGCTCCAACACGAGGAACGAAGCATGCGACTCCCAACCATAGAGTGCGCTGAAGATGTAACCACCAAAAAGAAGACGCGCAGTTACAAACGGTAGCATTTCAACTACGTATACGAAATTATTCACAGAATCATAGCCTTATTTATTTGACTTTTATTTAAAAAATGTCAGTGTATTAGTCTTATATAGCATAAGAAAAAAGCCCTTATGCGCCTCTACAGCAGTTAGTACGGTTTGGAAAAGGGAAAATTAGGTCTTGTTGTTCCCTCAAGTCCACACAATTCAGATGGAGGCTTTGCTACAACGTGACAAAGCAGCGCCGAGCGTTCGTAGCCCTGCCCACATGTCCAATAGCAGCGCGAGTTTCTCTTTGAGGGGCGGGGTTTATGCTTTGCAGGCGGGGTAATGGCAGGTTAGGATCAAATGAGAGATGGTTTCGGGAGTTGCTCGTTACACGTGAAATTTGTTCCCATAGCAAGAATGATGGTGGTATCCGTACACGGGTTAACATCAGACAAGACCCGAGTTACAGTACTGAGCTGAGCTACATTGTTGCACATGCGTCTATCCGTGTACAAGCTCTGCAAAGCAGCCTAAACTTCACTTTAGAGCAACTGAAATACTTTTATAAGGTAAGAAAAGCTGATTTTTGTTCTAATAGTTGTATCATTGCTGTCATAGTCTTACATCGTTTGTATGAAGGACATTTGAATCTGTATTTGTCAAAGAAAATGCGTTAAACATTTAGCTTTTAGTCTATATTGTTATTTCCTGATAGCACTAAGGATGTCTGATCACCAGTAAAATATGGTCCTTTGACTGTACTATATACCAGTGTATTTTTGACAATAACTTGATTGTCTGTTTAAAAGATGTAATGTGCATGGCTGTATCAAAATACATCTCATTTTCAATGTTTGTATGATGTCAGTAATTCCACGGCTCTGCAGATAGAGGGCTCGCATTCATCTAAAACCCTATATGAGGTGTATTTAAGTTTGTTATAGTCAGATCATAGTTAAAGGACTAGACTAGTGAGTGTCAAAACTAATGAGATTATTTCAATAAAATAAAAGGATTTATAACGTTATTTTTTATATAAATGTATAGTGTTATTCTAAAAAGCTTACTTGGTGGTATATGCATTGAAAACTGAAACTTGTCAGGGTCAGCAAAACAGAAAAAAAAACAATACATCAGGAGGGGGAAACCTACAAATATTTCAGTTTCATGAAACGTTGAAAACAGCTCAGTCATATGCATCTTGCTACACATCTAGTGTTTTTAGGTTACCCATGAAAGCATGTGTGAACTTTTTTTTTTTATCTGAACAGGTTTTTATCTTTCTTTTGTGCCGTACAGAAGCTTCATTGTTCAGATACTTCAAGACTAGTGATTAAAATTATTATCTACAATTATGTTGCCATAGTCAATGGTAAAAAAAAAAAAACTACAACAACAAGTGACGTATTGATTATTTTAGGAATGAGCAGTTAGGTAGTTCAATATTTCCTTTGTTCTAATGGAGATATGTGCTGTTTTCTTTCTGAAATCCAGTTTGAATCTATATCCTAAATGTAAACATAAGACGTTTTCAGCATTTAAACACACACACAAAATAGGGCAAAAAATGAAAAGCATGCTGTGTGCTATATAATATGTCACGTATAATACATTTTTTTTCATCGACCCTCCCACTTTAAAATGTGTTAAGTACATGGCTCTGAACATCAAATATAATTATTTTAAGGACACTGCATCATAATGACTGTATCAAAACAAGTGAATGTAAATATATCAGTGTGGTTCTTTAATGTCATTATAGGCCAGGATTAAAATGCAACACTCAACATTTATACAATGTGTGACAGAACTCACTATTCTCTGTGTGCATCTTGAAATTTTTCATGTCTCTTCATATCTTCAGGTGTGCAATTGTTGCTTATCCTGTTTTTATTATTATTTCCCACCAGATGCTTTGCAACTTTAAGGACGTTTAAGCAGAAACATCTAGGACAAACAAAGAAAAGTTTCTCGGCCGTACCTATGTTTTAGCACAGCAGATATTTAGGATAACCAAAGAGTTCCCATGCCCTGCTCTGTCAGAAGGTCCCTTACAGATGCACAAGACAGATAATATATACAGTTATTCTGCTTCATTATGAATAATGACAACTTTCAAACACCAGTGACCTATGGCGCTCGTAGAGGGAAGGGAACAACATACAAGGATGAAGGGGAAGCCCACAGCAATGCTTCTCCCGGAATGACCAACAGCCAGCCCATTTGTCCCAGGCTGGACATTTCAGCAGCACCCCAGCTGACACACTCGGATGACACGGATGCCCACTCCAGCGGGAATGACTCGGCCGAGAGGGAGAGCGAAGGACACATGGGACGAGAAACATCCACCTGCAGCTCTCACAACAGAAAGGGTTCAACCACAGAGACTACGGAAAGCAAGAGGTATGTGATATTTAAACTGAAATCTGTTTAACATGACTTTTATGTGGTAGGAAGATGGTTTAATGTTATAAGTAGTTTTTCCCAGTGTCTATTTGTATTTACTGTATGTATGAATACGTATACATTGCCAAAGACAAATAAATGATGTTCTTTTGAACTTTCTGTTCCTCAAAGAATCCTGAAAATCATGTATCTTGGTTTCTACAAAAAAAATTAAGCACAAATGTTTTCAACAATAATAATGATAAGAAATGTTTCTTGAGCACCAATCAGCATGTTAGAATGATTTCTGAAGGATCATGTGACATTGAACACTGGATTAATGCCTGGAATAATTCAGCTTTGGATCACAGGAATAACTTATATTTTAAAGTGTAATGATATTTTGCCGTTTTTGATCAAATAAACACAGCCTTGGTAAACATAAGAGGCTTTTTTTTTTAAAACATTCAAAAATCTTGCCAACCCCAAACTTTTAAACTGTGGGTGTACATATATACAGATAAAATAGCTTGAATGCCATTGCAATGCAGAGTCATTATGGATACAAATCTTAGTCAAATGTATGAGTGTAAACCTGTTACTTGTCTTTTAACCACTTTAGTCAGCAAAGAGATAAAAAAAACAATGTGTATGCCTGAGGAGCTCTGACCTATATATATATCTCACACATTCAGTTTAATAAACCAATTGCAGGAGTTTGGTTTAACTTGCTCCCAAAAAACCTTTTCTTTTGGAACTGGTTGAGGCGTTGGCATTATGACGCTTCACTTGGGGCAGATTATAATTGCATAGTACATGCAGTAATTTTTAGGAACAAGACTGGTATTTGGTCATGTTCATTTTAAGATTATCGAACAATAACTGTGCCAGATTGGCTAATTGACGGAAATGGCCAGAACTAGTATCGGCTCCAAAATCATGTATTTTAGAACTTGTCATTGCTGAAATGAAATTATTTAATTTTTAAATTGGAAATGTGAAATCCTGTTTTCTGATAGATAAATAAATTGTATTAGAAATACTGGCTAATTTCACCCATTAAAATGTCTCTCCCCAGCTCAAACGGAAACAGTCCCTCCCCTCCTAGCAGCTCGGTTTCGTACAGTCTTTTGAGTGGCAGCTCGGAGCAGGATCAGCCGACGT